CCTTCGTCTCTGCCACTGCGATTTCCACCGCTTCTAACTATCCTTCCACCGCCACTACTCTTCCCTCCATTCCGCGCCCACTCTACTCCTCCAATTGGGATCCGGCAGGTCGGACCAATTGATAGGTTTCTGATAAAGAAACCTATTCAAGATCCTCTAGAAACAGCACTTAGGCGCCAAGAAAACAGAAAGAAAGCAAATTGTGCTGTATATTATTCACAAAGTCAAGTCTGTACACTCACACAAACAAGGGCTTAATCCCTTCAACAGGCTGGATCCTGTTTAACTAACAACTGTCAAAAAGTCCCTCAGCAACTAACCTCTCTACAATTTATATTCTCCTATTCCCGCCCTACCCAACTGTAATAAACAGTTGGGTTACTCGACTAACTCATTAACTCATTTTTTTCCTTCTCTCATAAACCTTCCAACTCTTCTGATTCCTAACAGAGCCTATATGTTATTACTTTGAAAGCATGAATGACTTTGCCCAGGTTTCTATGGTTGAATCACTTGCTTGTTTGTACGATATCATGAAGGCCATTTGTTGGTAACCCTTTATTAGCCAAATGCATGATTTTAGCCCAATAAAAGAGAGCACAATGTGTTCTATCCTTTGAACCCTTAGCTTTGAACATGTTAGAAAACCCTTTTTGAAAAGGTTTACCTTGAGTTGAGTTGAAGATATCTTGTGGTATTGATAAATGTTCAAGTTTAGGGTTGTTGGGAAGTCTCAAAAGGGAATATGAAAAGCATTGAGCTAAGCATATGAAAAGCAAAATATAAAGGAAAAGAAAAGAAAAGAAAGAGAGAAGAAGGAAGAATGGTTGTGTTTAGATGATTCGTTTAACTCAAGGATTTTGTGATCCAGAAAAACCAATTTTCTTGTTAGCCTAGCCACATTATAAGCCATAGAAAAGTCCTTGTGATGATACTTGCTTGTGAATGTGTTTGATTGTGGTTAAATGAAAGGCAAAGTTAATTCATGTGACATTGTGAATTGTGATAGTAAAGTGAAGGAGTGAAACACTTTATCTGGTAAGGAAAGAGTCCATGAGCACATGATTACATTTATGCTTAGTTAATTGATCATTCATAAGAATAGCATTTGTTGGATAGTATGTGATTATGTGAACACCAAAGCATGTGTGCATCTTGACTGAATTCTTTGTGATGAGCTGATTTGAGTAATTACTTGTCTTGGAGAAGAGAGTTTTTAATGTGGTGAATCATTGTATGGATTGGTGGAAGACTGAGTTACATTTTGTTTGCTTGAGGACAAGCAAAGTTCTAAGGTTTTGCCACTTTTACTACTGAGCGGCACTCTGAAGTCTCGCAGTCAACGTGAGGGGCAAAACTGCAGCTGAGCGTCAAAATAGAAGAATCGCACTTACCGTTGAGCGGTAATTACCGCGCTGAGCGCCATTTTATTGGGCCTTGGGCCAATTTTCTGTAATTTTTAGGAAGCTATATAAGGTTTTAGCCGAATTAGGTTTATCATCTTTGGACAGAAATAGGCGAAATCACACTTTCTTCAGCCCTTGGAGGAGGATTTTGCATGCTCAAACTCTATTCTACAACTTCTAGTGTTCTATCTTTCATTCTTTCATTGTTTTTCATATAGTTTCCCCATGTCTATGGTCAACTAAACCTTCATTGTTGTTGGGGAACCGATGTAATCCTTTGAAGTTCTCATGTATTGAATTGGTTCTTTAATCTAATTCTTTCTTTCATTAATTGTTAGGGTTTTTCTTCTATACTCTATGCATGCTTTGTTTAACTCATTCAATTGCATGATCATTGATGTTATTTGTATGGACACATATAAGTAAATCTAGAACTGAAGAAATTCTCCCAAGAGCAATATTGCCTAGACATAGGGATAGGAGGATTGGTTGCCTTTAAACTTTTGTGCGAATGTAATGCATGAATAATTGCTAGGAAGACAAGACATTGTAAACTAGTGATTAGAAGTAGGTTTTCTTCACCGAGACATCGGGTCTAAAGTAAATTAGAAAGTGGCATTAACATTAATGAAGAAAGATGAATTCTTAAATACATGAGAGTGGATAGGATAAATCGGAAACCCAAACAACATAATCATTCTTATTATACATCAACCGTTTTTGCATCTTTCAAATCCGTTGATCAAAACTTTGCATTCATGTTTATTTTTCATAGTTCAACAATAATATTTTCGGTTACAAGTCTAAGATAATCAACAAATCACATAACTGTTTAGACCGTGAGTCTTTTGGGAAACGATATTTGGTCTTACCATTTTATTATTACTTGATACGATTCGATACACTCCCGAGTGCCCTCTAGTGGGGGATGCATGAAATTCTGCCCGGATTTTTTGGATCCATGCAGATTTGGCAGACAGCACCAGTCTCCCTTTATAGTGCAGCCTTCCATTCTTCAAGGTAAAACTTGGATGCCTTTTTGGATCCTTAGTAATATCCTCCACAATTCTTCTAAGCTCTTCATCCCCTTCAACCTCATTTATGACTTCCTGAAAATCCCTCTAGTAAGGCCTAGCTACTTCCCTCAATTCTTTCTCCTCCTCTTCATCTTGGCCCTCGGATACTTCCTTCCCCTCCTCCACAGCTTCCATTCCCTTCCTGGACAAAGCATCTGCCACTTTGTGTGTAGACCCAGACCTGTACAGAATATCAAAGTCATACCTAGGAGCTTGGCAATTCAATTTTGTTGATTTTGAGTTGTTATCCTCTGCTCCAACAAGTATCTCAGACTCTTTTGATCAGTGTGCACTACAAACTTCTAGCATAGCAAGTAGGGGCGCCAATGCTGAATGGCCATCACTAAAGCCATGAGCTCCTTCTCATATATGGACTTTCCCAACGATCAGTCCAATAGTGCTTTACTGAAGAAGGCAATAGGCCGCCTATTCTGAGTAAGCATTGCCCAAACTCCAACACCAGAGGCATCACACTCCACATGGAAAGGTTGGGTGAAATTAGGCAGTGACAGCATCGAGGTTGTCGTCACTGCTTCCTTCAATCTATCCATCGCTTTCCTAGCAAACTCGGTCCATACAAAATTGCCCTTTTTTAACATATCCGTCAAAGGGCGCGCAATCTTGCCATAATCCCTCACAAACCTTTTGTAGTACCCAGTTAACCCTAAGAATCCCGTTAGGGCCTTGATAGTTATTGGTTCTTCCCATTCTAGGACCGCCTCCACCTTCTCCCTATCCATTTCCACCCTTCTTCGTTATTACATGCCCAAACTTGATATGGGTCTTTCCAAACTCACATTTCTTTCGGTTTGCTACCCACTGTTGCTGCAACAGCATGTCCAACACGCTTTCCACATGCTGCAAATGATCTCTCCAGGTGGGACTGTAGATTAGGATGTCATCAAAAAACACCAGCACGAATTTCCTCAAGTATGGCCTGAACAGCTCATTCATGGCACTCTGAAAGGTGGAAGGGGCATTGGTGAGGCCGAAGGGCATCACCAAGAATTCATCCCCAAATGTGTCCGAAACGCAGTCTTTTGGACATCCTCCTCCCCCATTCTGATTTGATGATATCTACCTTGAGGTCCACTTCGGAGAAATAACGCGCCCCCCTTAACTCATCAAGTAGTTCCTCTATCACTAGAATGGGGAACTTATCTGGGACAGTGGCTCTATTGAGGGCTCTATAATCTATACAAAACGTCAACTCTCAACCTTCTTCTTGACAAGTATAACTGGGCTGAAATAGGGGCTTGTACTGGGTCGGATGATCCCCATTTTCAACATTTCCTCCACTTGCTTCTCTATTTCCCCTTTCAACAGAGGGGATATCTATATGGGCGGACATTTATAGGCCCAAGCCCCTCTTCCAAGGTTATCTTATGCACCCTGTCATGATCTGGAGGTAACCCCTGAGGTTCCTGGAACACTTGCGGGTACTTCACCAACACCTCTTCTAGTTCTTCCTTCTACTTTTCAATCAACCTTGACTCCTCCCCTTCTTTTCCAGCTACCTCAACTGACCTCAAACTCCATACTAACGTCATTGCTTCCACCTCAGTGATCTTGAGCAATGCTTCTCGAGCAACTACTTCTCGAGCTATCATTGGGTCCCCCCTGATAGTTATCTCTCTTCCTCCTTGCTTAAACCCCATGGTCAACTTTCCCAGTTGGTTACCACTTCTCCCAATTTGGCTAACCAGTCTACCCCAAGGATCACATCTACACCTCCCACCTCGAAGACATAGAACTGCTCAGTGATCTCTGCTTCCCCCAACCTCAACATCACTCTTGTACAACAACCTAGTGTCTTCCTTCGCTATCCGTCTCCCAAGCTAACATGATAAGTCTTGGTGTCGTCGAAGGCCAACCCCATCTCCTTGACCACACTCCTAGATATGAAGTTGTGGCTCGCGCCACTGAGGACCAACACCTCCTTCCCTCCTAGCTTCCCCTGTAGCTTCATTGTTTTGATTTGCATCAGCCCCCCTGCTGAAAAAGTTGACAGCTCTAGCTACTTCTTGGGTCTGCTTCTATAGCTTCATTGTTTTGATATGCTGGCCCTCTACCATATTGAGGCGTCCATCAAGTCTTCCCTCCATCACAAACTCCTCTTAATTGGATTCGGAAGGTCGGACCACTTTGATAGGTACCCGAGTAAGAAGCCTCTCAATCTCCTTTACCCACTCACACCAAGGCACACAAACAAGAAAGAGCAAATGAATCGAATTGTATTCACAACAAAGATCAACGAATACAATGATGAATTCGGGAGCCTAACCCCCAAGACCTGTCTGTACAAAGAATGTAGTTAACTAACAGAAAATACGAATGGGTCCTCTTATAAAGACACCCTTCCCGCCTTCTCCTAACTGCCTAAGCAGTTAGGTATTCCCTCTTACTTCCCTACTTTCTTCCTCCTTTCATAGACTCTCCAACTCCTAACAACAGATCTTCAAATAAGTTAGATTATGAAATACAATGTGATCGTATAGTATACAACATCAAGATTTACCATGGCTCTTCAATAATAATGGAGGCTTTTCTTCTGCACTAGCTTGGAAATCAGGATTACATGGTTTGTAAAAGTATGCATAAGCATTTTGACCAGGAACTTCAGTTGGGAATTCAATCAACTCAGGTTTACTAAAGTAAGAAGTATACTTCAAACTATCTGGGGAGGAGGACCAAATAATGTTGAAGTCAACTGCTTTAGATTTATCATTATCTAAAGTCACCTGAAAAGTAAGACAGTTGTCAGGGGATGCATGGAAATAACTAAAGAGAAAAATAGAGGGAAGAAGGAAGCACCTTGGCCACTGATGATGAAGAAACAGCAGACGCTCCCTCCACATAGAGGCAATCATTACCAGAAGTCTGCAATGGTGTGATTGCACAATAAGACTGATAATGCATTTCAAGAATTGATTTAGACCATAAAAATAAAAACAAGGAAACAATTTTAAAAATTACAATGTTATCTATATCTGTGAAAGGGATATCCAGCAGAGTTAGCTTTGAGTCTGGATCATCATCAATAATTCCAAGATATGACTTCCCCTGCTGTCTGCAAACAACCAAAACCTTGATTGAATGCACTAGACTGGAGCCGAGAGCACAAGAAATTTTCAGGTATCAGACACAATTACCTGTAAGTGCAAGCAATTAAGTTTTTTTGTATATGACCTTGAAGAAATTCATAAGAATTCATGCCAAAAATCCACAGCGGCCTTGCAAACTCAGCCTCCAAAGAATAAACAGGCAAGACCTTGTTCTCAGACTCAATCTGTAATCAGTTACAAAAAGAAAAAGAAAAACAATCAATTAAATACTTAGATCATATTGCATGTCTAGCTAAAATATGTGTTCAAGGATGCACAGGTTGTTGAACAAGGGAATCCAAGACAAACCAAAGGAACAAATTATCATATAAAAAGTGAAATTTTAAAAAGCAAGCATTTGTATTCTATTGTGACAAGCATAATATAGATATTTAATCTCAATGACTAGATAATGCCCAAAAAAAGACAACTATAACACCTCTACTGTTTTTCAAAACATGGTTTTACGTATATGTTGTGGCAGAAAGATATTCAAAGCCTGACTATTTTCAGGAAAACAAATCATGAAATTCATATGCTAGCTTTCTGTAAAATTTGATTACTATCCATTATAGGATTCTCTTTGACATCATCCTCAAAGTTGTCAAAATGATAAATCGCAAAGAAACTCTGCTTTGTGAAAAACGGCAAAGTCAAACAGGTCGTGGGAAATTTACCCAGTGAGGAACCTTGATAGACCCTGGTTAGTTTACAAGAGGAGGGAGAGAACTAGATGACTTAAATATCTTAACGGTTAAGTGGATGTTAGTAAGTGGGCGGGAAAAGCTGGTATTATAAATACCTCTATTAGAAAAGGGTAGAGGACTTTTGGTGATTGTAAGATACATAACAGGTTCTAGGAACTCTGTTGAGAGAGGTTATGCTCTCGTGACATTCATTGTACATTGAGATTACTTGTGAATAACAACATTATTTCATTCTTTCTGGTGTTCTGTGTGTGTGAGAGTGCATTGTGGTTGGATTTCCTAATTAGAAACGTAGCATTTTGGTCCGACCTGCCAGATCCGAGACGAGGTGCGAGAGAATTAACATGGAGGGAAGGGTTGACGGAAGATTCAATGTGATGGAGGGACGGTTGGAGACGGTAGAACTTGCAATTGACAGGATTAAGGCGGAGACAGGAGTGCTACGCCAAGATACGATTGCGATTCGTCAAGAATTGAAGGAAATCATGAGGATGTTGGGAGGACGACAGCACCAGACGGAGGATAGTCAGTCTTCGGTCAATGCAAATGTACAACAAGACGAGAACGAGGGGGGAGGAAGAATCGGGAAACACGAGCACCCTCCGAATTGGAGGAAGAGGTTCAAATTACACACATTTGAAGGCCCGGATCCACTCAATTGGATCAACCGAGCCGATCGTTTCTTTGACCTACAACGGGTAGAGGAAGATGATGAGAAATTGCAGCTGGCATACATAAGTATGGAGGGCAGTGTCGGGTATTGGTTCCGCTTCTGGAAGGAGAAGGCCAAGAACTAGTCTGGGCGGGGCTGAAGGAAGCATTGGTAGCGCGATTTGGGGAAAGAAGCAGGGGAACCATTTTTGAAAGGTTGACCACCATCAAACAGACCGGGACGGTGGACGAATTTATCAAAGAATTCGAAATCTTGGTAGGACAAACGTCGAAGCTGGGGTATTTCATGGGTGGTTTACAGGAACCGATACGCAGCCAGTGCGATTACTAGACCCTCAGGAGTTGATGTGATGGAAACCCATTTAGGGCATTCCATTCAAAGGAGTACGAACTTAATCTAAGGCTAAGAAAGGGACGTTGGAGAAGGACTTTTAGAAACTCTTTCTTGATTTTTCACCATATAATTTTGCACCATATGAAGCCTTACGTGCATCCAGCACCAGCTGTGATCTTCCACGTGCATCTAGCACCTTTCATGTGCAACCTCCAGCACCTTTCATGTGCAACCAGCAGCTTCAAAAACGTTTCAGCAGATTCAAGAGATCTCCACATGGCTCTTCATGTTTTCTTCACACTTGCATAGCTGGGCACTTGCTCCATTGCATCATAGTTATCGTTAACTAAATAAGCGTGAAGCAGGAGCTTTGTTTCTCCTTTAAATAGCTTGCTCCATTGCTTGTAACCTTTACCTTTGATTTGAATGAAGAGTAGTTTTCTGTTAATGTTGTCAAGAACTTTCTTCTTA